GCTAAAAATATGAATTTATTCGGGTTGTCCTGGTAGATTACAACCTCCTCCTTTGATAAAACAGAAGATTCTTCCCTCCCCTACCTTAGGCAGAATAAAATGCCGGCAAGCCTGTCTGAGGTAATTCAGGATAGTTTAATTTAGTATACCATGGAATAATCAGTTCAGCTAAAAGAAACTGAATTAGAAGATGTACAAAAATCAGTATTAAATTGGTTAAAGCTAAGACAATTACAGGTAACATTCAATTAATAGTTAAGTTATTGTGGTAGTTTCGTTAACTGAGAGAGACTCAAAAACAGATTCTTAATACTTTATAAATGCAACTGGCACAGAATAATAGAGTGCACATGTAAGAACTGATGAAGAACAACTGAGCAGGTATCATCTATTTACAGGAAGATGAGAGAATTATTAAAGAAAATGCATGTATAATCTTGAGGAGCAAGACAACAAAAACAAATTCAAAGATGGCTACATTAATGTCAAACAACAGGAATTTTCAATTATTTTAGCTTATCAATAGAACAGACAACTGGAGATCCCATGATCATAGTTATCATGATGGATGTAATAATAATAAACTAATAATAATAATTTTAAAAGAGAGAGAAAAAGAATAGTAAGGTATCTAGTAACTACTGTCATCATCTTCATGCATAACATTAAGTCACAGTCACCGTACACAAGAAAGAAATGGGAAAAAAAGGCTACTAGGCTTTCAATAATCTCTCTCCCTCTCTTTTCATATACGTACAAGTAATATATATAATGAGGCTAAGCCAGCCTGGCTTGTTTAGCCTAGCAACATAAAAATCTAAGAGCAAGTGTGAATGGTACATACCATCGTCTATTTACAGAGAGCAACCACAAGAAAAGAAATAACAATTAAGCCACAGGATGGTATTAAACACGAGCAGATGAGTACATAGAGGGCATAAATAATGTTCAGCTGGAAATTAGGAAGATACTTTTGGAAACAAGCCGGGAAGGCCTAGACCAAACACGACCGTTATAAAGACTGAAAGACATTATTTACAGGCCTATAATTGAAATGGAATGGCACAACTAATCAAAAAACATCACTCCTGCACTGAGGAAGGGGAGGGATAAAAATAAATAAATAATACATTATCTTCTACAGTTTTACAGTAGTCCTCCAATGTTGAGTTAGTACGGTGACTAAGGAAGGAAAAAGTTTTATGAATCCGAAATGTAACATACACATTTCTGCTTTTAGTAAACCTCTTGCTTATGAGCATGAGAGACCTGAGGAGTACACTAACAACACAAGATCCTGAAAAGAAATAAGCCAGTTTCAATAGGTGCCAAAAGCAAACCTTGAAATTAAGCTCATAAAAGATCATGCAGCAGCATCACCAATGAATGACCCAAGGGACACGACAGGGACTTGACGGTCAGCATCCCCTGCTCCCCTTAGTGCTGCAGGCCAAACTGCTGGGACATCATCTGTCCTGGCACCAGTATACAGGAATATGAGGATATCAGTGTCAAAGCATCATATATGTGTGTGTATATATATATATATATAATATAAAACATAACAAATGAGTGACTGAAGTTTGTTTTTGTTCCAAAAAAGAATCATCTTCCCATCTACAGATTACTGCACCAAGTTTTACTATGAGAGTGGCTGCACTTCCAACTGTTTCACTTTTATCTGGTTGCACACGTTGTTCCGTTGTTGCAGAAAAGCAGTATCTTAAAAGCGATGTTTTCCTAGTGACATTTGTTGCATAAAACATAACAAGCTTGTTACACAGTGAAAACACTTAAGTTACCATTTATTTCTTACGGTCTCTGCAAAACAGACTTTTTTATGTCTGAAATTGTGGATTCCTCTTATTAAATATTTAGATTAACCACAACAAAAACAGGGATGGATGGAAGCAGTGAGAGAAAAATCTCCCTCTGAGAACTACGATGGGTTACAGAATGCCTAGTGCAATGAGGGCTGCAGAGAGCTCTGCCACTGCTAAGCTCCTAACTCAGGGAGAGGCAGCTTGTTTCTCATCATTAAATCAGAAAATATTCCTTCCTTTCAGCCTCTTCATATATGTACCTACATGTACCCCTCTAGAGTCTACTTTCACAATTCATTCACGTTTTCATGTACAGAGAAAAAGGAAGGTGCATCCTACATGCAACTCGTGCTTCTCAACACAACACAATCCATTCAGGATATATGTGCATTCCTGGAAAACATCAAGTTTCCAGAACTATTCAAACAAGCTCCTGAACTTCGAGAGTGTTTGCTTTTTGCTCATGTGACTGCAACTTATTTCTCACAAAGTTTTGAAAGTAAAAGTTAAAAATCAAGCAGAATTATCACACTCTTACATACGAAGTGGACCTCTAGATTTTTTGTAATATGCACAAGCAGATTGATATATTTGCTTTAATTAAATTTTTTGATGTGTTATATCAATAAAATTCTCTATTTTTTGGCACAGAGATATTGAATCATTACTCCACAGTGTTTTGGTATCTATTTCCTTCAACACCCCTGAGCAACAGTAATACTTTCTCCTTTTTCCATGCACTGGCAGAAAACTGAAGGGGAGTACCAATACAGTTGTCAGAAACAGTCTCTCAAATGTCATATTAAAAGGGATTATTTATTAAAGATGGAAAACCTCACTCTTTTTTTCGCAGCCAAAAGCTTTTATTGTATTGTCATTTCCAGAGGGCAGCCGGGGGAAAAACACAGCAAAAAATGAAAACTGAAGTTTGAAAGAAGCTTCAAAATCTTCAAAAACTTAAAGTCTCAATAGCTCCGTCCCTTTCTGAATGCAATTTTCTGTAGCCAGCTCAACCATACACTTACTGCTGTCCCTGGAAGAACTTTGTGTTTGAGTGACCCACGTTTTGCAGCACGAAAGAGTAGATCTCCAGCTAGGCTTGTATTCAGAGTATGCCCAAGCTCCTTTGGTAACTTAAAAAAAAAAAAAAAAAGCATATATTTGTAGCTATTCTCAAAATGAAACTGCAACTTCAGTTTTGAGTTGGATTTGGGAATACTCATAGAATGCTTGTAGGTGCTCTATATATTCTGCTGCACTATAATGCCTTAATCAAGTTGGGTTTTTTTAATTCTTATTCAGATTATTTGACCTGAAACACAGAAACCATCACCCTGGACCTGACCTCAGCTATTCTAGCAGCCAGTTGCTGGCAGGAGCTGGCTCCAGACAGCCTTCTGAAGATGCACGATCTGTCCAGGCACATACAATATGACCTACTCCATGAAAAAATGCACTCCTAATTGTTATAAATTGTTTCCAGTTACAAGTCAGAAACACCTTCTGGCACATTTGCCTTGGCTTGTGATCCCTTTCAAATGTTTGTACCAGTAGCTGTAATTGTGCATATTATTACTGCTATCTACGTAAGCATCCCATGACCTTTAATAAATTCTTTAACTCAAATGTCATCTGTGATGGTTAGATCACATTATGCTTATAATAGAAGAGTGGCAAATTACTACGGGAGGCTTTAAAATATTTGTGCTTCACTAGACACAGTGTTTTCATGTTTTGAAGAGAGAAAACCTCTCTGGCACGCAGCAGGCTGGCGGGGAGCGCGCTCCGCAGGGCAGCAAGCACGCAGAGCAGCGAGACGGAGGCTCTGCGGCGCGGGCTGACCCCCAACGGGACGGGGCAGAGACCTCCGTCCCGGGAGCGCTGCCGCACAAGGGCCCCTGTCCCACGGCTGCTCCCGGGCCGTGCCGGGAAGGCCACGTCCAAGAGCCCGGCACGGCCACCGGGCTCACCGGCTGCCCGCTCCGCACGGCGGCTGCGGCCGGCAACGCGCACCGGCCTCCTCTCTGCACCTAGCTCTGCAGCCATCTCCCTGTTTCGGATCCTGAGTACGGAACAGAAATATAACCAAAGTCCAAGTCTTGGGTGGGGAGGAAAGTGAAGTTTGGTTCAGATTTGAAGATGTGACTGCAATCTCCCGACAGCTGCTGGATTTACCAGTAGTATTTTTAACACCGCAGTACCTGCAAAGACAGAGGCTGCTCAGCCCCAGCGGGACACACGGGCTCTCACCCGCCCTGGGGGACACATCTCAGAGCCCCCCCGGCGAGGCTCCCTGGGCACCTCACCCCCAGCGGCGCCTCTCTC